TAAAACCAGAAAAACAGGCTGGGGCCTGCTGGACAGCATGAGGGTCAAGGAGAGGCAGCTGCTTCAGTGGGGTCAGGGGACGGGCATCGGCAAGGATCGGCTCATCATAACATTACTCTTGAGGTAAAGATCCCGGCCCCAGGAAGCTCCCTAACAGTGACTGTATAACCTGGGAGGCTAGCCGCAGAAGGATGGACTTCGAGACGGGGGGGAGGAGCTCAGAGGGAAGAGTTCAAGCAGGGGCCCAGGGCAGGAGGCTTCACCTGGATCCCTGGTTCGAACTCCCTAGGGGCCAGGTGAGGCTCAGGCCAAGAGCTGAGAGGGAGGAGGGAGCCCCAAAACAGGGCCATTACCAAACTGGGAATGTTTCTGACTAGCCCTAGGCACAGTCCTTACTTTTGAGAACTGACAGGCAGTTTGGGAGTTAGGGAAAGTAGGGGAACTAGATCTTCAGGAAGTAGTTTTCTAGATTTCAGAATAGAGGATGAACTGGGATGTTCTTTTTTATTTTTTTCTGCCCTTACCCTGAACTAGGATATTCTTTTTTTTTAAAGATTTTATTTATCTATTTGATAGAGCACAAGCAGGGGGAGCAGGAGGGGGAGGGAGAAGCAGGCTCCCTGCTGAGCAAGGAGCCTGACTGGGAGCTCAATCCCAGGACCCTGAGGTCATGACCTAAGCCGAAGGCAGACGCTTAACCGACTGAGCCACCCAGGCGCCCCTGAACTGGGATATTCTTTTTTTTTTTTTTTAAAGATTTTATTTATTTATTTGAGAGAGAATGAGAGAGAGAGAGAGCATGAGAGGAGGGAGGGTCAGAGGGGGAAGCAGACTCCCCGCTGAGCGGGGAGCCCGATGCAGGACTCGATCCCGGGACTCCAGGATCATGACCTGAGCCGAAGGCAGTCGCTCAACCAACTGAGCCACCCAGGCGCCCCTGAACTGGGATATTCTTAAGTGGCACATTGTTCAGGGTGGTTGGGAAGCTCTTAGAGATGAAAGACAGTGGTCCCCATGAGGAAAAGAAGGCAGTATCCAAAAACCAGTATGTCTACCTGGGAAGCTGTCTGTCGAAGGAGATTGGAAAACAGTTAAATGGAAAGGAGGACGTGTAACCAAAGATGGAGGTAAGAGCGTGGCCCAGAGGCCACCAGAGTGAGCTGAACCTTGCCCTGAAACTCAGGACGACCAACAGCGCCATTACATATATTTGGGAAAGGAACAGGGAAACAGGGCCTGGTCTTGGAGGCCAGTGGTACAATATTAGGAGGGAACAGAAAGAAACCAGAGAGACTCTTGTGTCCCATTTTGTTTCCATCTTTTGAGCTTGAAAAAGCAGGACAAATGGTGATAGAAGGGACTTGAACCCAAGTTGGGTGATTCATCCCCTGGGCAAATTTCTGTCTGGCTGGCGGCCTACAGGACGGGTGGGAAACAGCAGAGGTCCTGGGGGCTAGAGATGACTAATGTCTAGATGAGGTCTGCAAACACTTAGAAAAGCTCTCAGAAAGTGGTTGTCACTGGGGCTTGATCAGGCTCATTGGGAACAAGGCCTAACAATTTCAGTTTATTTTTTTGGACCTCAAAGTACTTCTGGATTGAGGTGAGGCCTTTAATAGAGTCTTAGGACATCCCCCTGGACCACCTGACAGTGATGTCAGCATGTTTATAAACAGTGAAAGATCCCACTTTGAAAGGAATCGTTCTTGATTCCTCCCACCCCTACCCCGTGGACCTTAGGGAAGAGCCCTGCTCTTGACCTTGTTCTGTTCATGATTTGGTTCCTGTCTTGGGGTGGGGGTAGGGGGCTCCTGATGGTGGTGCTGGCTAAGAGCAGGACTGAGATCTGAGGAACTCTCTGTGGGCCACCTCTGGAAAGTGGAATTTACCAGGGCAATGTGACAGACTGCATTTGGGACCAGAAAAGTAGTTGTGCAGGTACAGGCTGGGGTTTGCGGCTTAGCAGCAACATGGTGAGAAAAACTCTCTTGAGCTTGCTGATTGCAAACCACATATATGTCAGCAGGAGGATGTGGCTTCAGGAAGAGGTGCTGTGGGCTCAGGCTCCACAGACAGACACTCAGTGGGTTCCAGGGACGTGATGCTCCGGGTCCCCTGAGCCTGACCCAACGACAGCAGGCAGGCAGAAGAGATGCCTCCTGTCTCTGAGTTCTTCAGTTCTGGGAGATTCCATTCCATTTCTTTCATGATTTTTCTCACCTCCATTTTTCTGCTTTCTGCAACTCAGGCAGATTTTGGACCTCTTGAATCGATCTTCTGATTTTCTCATCTGTTTTTCTAACATTATCCTTCTTTTTTATCTTTCTTTTTTCTGCAAGATTTTTTCTACACTTATTCTGAGTTTTTTATTTCACTGTTTATAATTTTAATGTCCAAGAGTTCTTTTTTATTCCCTGAATGTTCATAAAAAAAAAAGAGCATCTTTTTTTTTTTTTTAAAGATTTTACTTATTTGAGAGAGAATGAGAGAGAGAAAGCACGAGAGGGAAGAGGGTCAGAGGGAGAAGCAGACTCCCTGCTGAGCAGGGAGCCCGACGCAGGACTCGATCCCAGGACTCCAGGATCATGACCTGAGCCGAAGGCAGTCGCTTAATCAACTGAGCCACCCAGGCGCCCGCATCTTATCTCATCTAATCTGCTAATGCTTCCTTCTAGTTCCATTTTCCAGAAATGTGTGGACATGTCTTACCTGCTGGTTTCTGGGGTTGGTTGGTTGGTTTTTGTTTTCACTTTATTTGATTTTTTTGGTCCTCTTCTCTCCGTTCTTGGTTCATATCATTAAAAAAAAAAATCCCTTTTATTTCAGTGGGATTTTGGGGGGCAGCAGAGTTTGAATGTACCTTATTTAACTGAAAGTTTATCCTTTTACTTAACATTTATATATCCTTTTTTTAAAAATATTTATTTATTTGAGAGAGTGTGAGCGGGGGGAGGGACAGAGGCAGAGGGAGAAGCCGGCTACCCACTGAGCAGGGAGCCTGATGTGCGGCCCAATCCCAGGACCCCGAGATCACGACCTGAGCCAAAGGCAGACGCTTAACTGACTCAGCCACCCAGGCGCTCTACCTTTTTTTTTTCTTAATGTTTTATTTTTAAGTAATCTTTACACCCAACTTGGGGCTTGAACTCACAACCCCCAAGTCACAGGCTCCACCAACTGACCAGCCAGGTGCCCCAATATATCCTTTTGTTTTAAAAGTGTCTTTTCAGACACATTTTGATGTGATAGAGGGTTTTAAAAATCCAGTATGAGAGTCTGAATTTTGATCAGGGAATTTAGCTCATTATCTATTGCTCTAATTACTATTATGTTAGGACTTACTTCTGCCATCTTACTCAGTGCTTTCTACTTGTCATGTGTCCTCTCTGCTTTTCTTCCCTTTCTGATCCTTCATTGTGTGGCTTGAGTTTTCTGCTGGTTTGAAGGTGACCTGTTCTTCTGGTTAGCTCTAACTTACCGTTCCCCTGCCTTTCCTTGCCACTGCCCTGTGTCTTGAGAGTCTCGGCACTGTCCTGCCTCCCTCTGCTGTCTCCCTGCTTGTGCTGGTCCCGGGTCGGCTCCAGGCCTTGGTGCCGCGGAGAGAAGGCGGCCCTGTTCCTCCGCCATCTTGTTCAGAGCTGCCGTGGAGGGAGCACCGGTGCTCAGTGGGAGTTTGGCTGAGGTCTTGTGCGAGTTTTGGGGATGGTAGATCCTAAGGGAGAGTGAGGGAGAGTGGACATGTCTGAGAGCTCTCTAGTAGAGCTAGAAATAGCAGACCTTCTGAAGTACCCGAATTTTGCTTCTCTGGGACGTCTGCTTCCGGTCCCAGCTTTGCTCTTACGTGTTGTGTGGAATGCTGTCGCTGCCACAGGATAGGCAGGAAACAGATGAGGAGGGGGGCCTCAGTGAGACGATAGGGAGGGATGGGGCCTCTGTGAGTGGGCATGGGCACGCTCCATCCCGAGAGGCAGCCGTGACGCAGCACCACCATTATCAAGTAGGAATGTGGGCCCCAGAGTGCCAGAGCTTTTAGTTTTTCAAGAGAAGCCAAGAAATTGGATTTTCTATGTGAAATCTCCCGATCTGTATATATTGGCTCAAAAATGTTTATAACCTCATGCAGGCCAAGTGGCATGTCTGCAGGCTGCATCTGGCCTGCATGCCACATGGGATTCCTGTTCTAGCCAGTTGATGATTCTGTCCTCATCACCCTTGACTCTTCTGTCTCCTGGATACATGTCCCCTAGAGATGTGATTTGCTACACCCTTCCCTCCCAGCCACTTCTTTGGAGCTCGTTTACTCTGCCAGCGTGTTGGTTTAACACCTCATTTTACAAAGGATGGCAACTGGGTCTAGTGCTGCCCACACGACTAACCATTCCCCTGTTTGCATTATGAATTACTTGTGGATGAGGAGTGTGAAGGTAAACTTCATTCTTGCCCCACAAGTGTAGGGCACACAGGTTTTTTTTGTTTTTTTTTTTTCCTGGAGTCTGTCTGCAACCAGAGCCCACAAGGCCTTGTTCCTAGAAGTACGAGAGAGGACTCTGCCTTGTTTTCTCGCTGGGGCATGGATGCAGCCACATCATGCCAGGCCCCAGCTCCCCAGCGCCTTGGCCTGCAGAGGGCAGGGTTGCGGTATGGATTAGAGCTCTTTGGGGTGGCCCCTCTTACCCTGCATTCCTTCCTGTCTGCCTCTCGGCCCGAGTGGCAGGAGCCTGCAGCTTTATATGCACTGGGCAGTTGGTGACTCATTCCTCAACAACCCCTCAGATGGGGAAGTGAAACGGCCACATCTGGTGGGGCCTGACCTTTGGGTGACATCGGAAGTAGCTATGCAAACATGGGGCTCACTGCCGAGGAGGGAGAAGTCTTTTCCACAGCCAGGCTGTGAAGAAAGCACTTGCCTGGCCTGGCCCCGTGCGGCCTCCAGGCCGGTGGCTCTGGTAACAGTTTCCTTTCCCTCTCCCTCTCCACCTCCATTGTTTTCTCGGTGACAGCTGGAAGTAGCAGTGGTCACAACCGAGAGAGCCAAACATTTCTACAGCCCCCAGGACATTCCTGTCACTCTCTACAGCGACGCTGATGAATGGGAGGTCAGTGCACAGGGGCCCCAGGGCTGAGTTCCATCGTGTTTCTGTCAACAGGACAGCAGTGTCCTCCCTGCTGCCCGTGGTCCTGGAGGCCAGAGCAGTCGAGCTAGGCTCAAGTCAGTGGTCAAGGCCCTCTGGGCAGAGGTGATGAGGAAAACATCTGTGTAGCTTCTGGCCTGCAGGAGGCCCGAAGTCTCCTCCCACCCCAGGCAGAGCTCGGCCCTGGCCCCGTGCCTCAGGTTGAGTGTCCTTGCACTTATCTGGGCTGATGAAACCACAGAGGAGCTCCGTTCCCAGCACCCTTGTCCACGTGGCTCCCAGTGTCAGGGCTGTGGAGGGCACCTCGCTTCCCACGGCCGCTGGGCTCTGCGTCTGGTCTCCCGCAGCGGGGCAAGCACCGGCCGATTCACCAGACATCGAGTGTGGGCCTCACAGGGGTGCCCTGCCAGGCATTTCGAAACATTCTCAGCCTAGAACATTTCTGACTGGCCTGTCTTCTCCACCCCACCCCCTCCATTCTCGCCGCCCCAGAGCCCTTCCACGGGCTTGGACAACCCAAGCATCCGCCTCAAGCAGACAGGCCAGGAGTTCCGTGCCAGATGTCAGTCCTCTTGAAAACCAAACCATAAAGGGAATAGCTTGGAGAGACAAGGGGTGTTTGTTTCCTCAGGCCTGGTTTCTCTCAGGCTGTCGGCTCCACAGCTGGTGCTCACCAGCTTAGCTGTGAGAGGGAACAGTAGTGGACTTGGACAGGGCTTGCTCAGGTGGTCTCCCTCGGTTTCTGACTTACGTATCCCTCCCGCCGCAATGAGAGAGTAGCCAGCTTAACGACTGCATTTCCTTCCCTCTGCCAGATGTGGAAGTGCCGATCCGACCCAGTTCTCCACATTGACCTGCGGAGGTGGGCCGACCTCATGTTGGTGGCTCCTCTTGATGCCAACACCTTGGGGAAGGTGGCCAGTGGCATATGTGACAACTTGCTTGTGAGTGACTCTACCCTCCTCCCTCCCTGGGCCTCACTCCTGGTTTGCTGAGCTGCAGACCGCCTTTGTTCGGGGTTCTTGCCTTAGAATTCTTTTTATGGTGGGCTGATTTGCCTGGAACAGTGTTCCCCTGGACCCCCTCCCCTCCACCTGGTGTCACCTATGTTCCGGCCAGTGGACAGATGGATGGATTCAGCTTGTGTGTGCTCTCTTGAGGGCGTCCACCTCTCACCTGCCCCCCTGATGCTCAGCTCTTCTCCCTTTGTCCCTCATTCATGGGCTGCCCTTGATGTGCTCTTCTGTTGGTCTCCCTGCCCAGCCCCACTGCCTGCCCCCCTTAGCCCTGCCTTCTCCCCAGGATCTGGGTATCCACATGGGTGATCTGATAAGAGTGTTTACTTCCTCATGGATCTCTTGTGCACACTTATCTCTCCTGTAGCATTGGCCACAAGGCAGAAATGCGGTTTTCCTGTGTGTTAGGGAAAGCTTAGAGGGGAAGGGAGGAGAAAGACAATGAGAGATGCCAGCCGATGGCTGGTAGAGGAGAGGAACAGAAGTCCAGATGCACAAAGTGGGGATTGTCCTCGGCCTAAGGGACCTCCAGGGAGCTGTTGTCCTAAAAGGCCTTGTTTATATGATCCTCCTGGGAAGAGCTAGGTGTGTCATCTCTCTCCTCCCTCCTTCTCCATTATTACCCCACGGCCCTCATTCATTGAACGTTCCCCTAACATGAACTGAGCCCCATGCTGAGAGACACACAGAATACGGAGAACTCATAGTCTGGAAGGAGAGGGTTGTTGGTTACCCACACAGGTGAGAAGGAAGTATGCTCTGGTGTCTGGTGTGTGGTACAGTCTTCAGTGACCCCAGTTGGTCCTTTGACAGTGGACAGTGCTGGGCATATAGTAAGTGTTCAATAAATACTTACTGTATGTATGAGGTCATTAGTCACTCTCCTTTGGCAAAGAGCAAGGAGATTTTCAGAGTTTAATAGGACGAAGAAGTAAATAATGAAGCTGGGTCAAAATGTTGGTGGGTCAGATAGGAGGTTAGTCTCCTTGCAGGCTTATTGATGGGTGCGTAAGGCACTCCTCGAAGAATCCACTAGTGATTGAAGCATCATTTGAATAAGAGCACAGGGTGACCAGAAGAAGAGTGACACACAGATGATGTAGCCAGGAGCAGGGGTAGGGGGGTACGGAGAAGGGTGAGCCTGGGGGTGGTGTTATTCAGAAGGCTTCCCAGTGAGGCTGGTGTGTGGCTGACCGGGCAGTTGGAGCAGGTGAGGCTCCAGGCCACTTTCATCCCTGTAGGCCTGAGGGGTGTGTGACCTGCACCATCTCAGCAGATCTCCAGGCTTCCCACTGGCTGGTCAGCACCAGCTGATGTGATGAAGCACACTGACCTCTAGGAGGTATGCCCCAGGCTGGGCTGGCTCTCGGATGGCTCCTTTCTTCCCCTGCAAAACTCTGCTTCCCTTTTTCCTTCAGAGCTGCCCTCACTCCGTGAAATCTTCAGGGTTCCCTCCTCCTGAATTGGCTGAACAGTGGAATATGTTCCTAGGACCAGTCCCCAGGCCATTTGCCTCAAAAGGTTTCACTTGAAGGCACAGATATTTCAAGGAATTACAAATCTCATAGTTTATTTTATTTTAGAGAGAGTGAGCAAGAGAGAGCAGGGGCGAGGGGAGGGGCAGAGGCAGAGGGAGAAGCAGACTCTCCACTGAATGGGAGCCCAACATGGGGCTTGATCCTGGGATTCTAGGATCATGACCTGAGCTGAAGGCAGACGCTTAACCCACTGAGCCACCCAGGCGCCCCTCTCCTAAAGTTTAAATTGTCATCATCCTTGCTCTGTGGCTCTGTACTCACTTAAAAGATGTTTTGTCCTTTTATCCCTGAAAACGTCGCCCTGCTGCCCCCTTCCTTCAGATCTCCCTTTCCAGTGTCTAGAACCTGGGGTGCTAGAAGAGCAGCGTGCTAGGTGTGAACCTATGCGCCAGGCCTCTGGGCCCTTGGCCTGGGTGAGGTGCACCACCATCTGCCCTCTGGCCCACTCGGGCCCTCGCCCCTTCTTTGTGCTAAATAGCCAAGCAGAGGGGCGCCTGGCTGGCTACGTTGGTAGAGCATGCAACTCTTGATCTCGGAGTCGTGAGTTTGAGCCCCAGGTTGGGTGTGGAGATTACTTAAAAAAAAAAAAAATAGCCAAGCACAACCAGAAAGAGGAGTGACTTCCTTGGGGCGCCAGTCTAGCTGGGAGCTGGTCTCCTGATCTATATCTAGGCCTTCTCGCTGCCCAGGCAGCTTCCCAGGGGCAGAGCTTGAGGTACTGAACAGAGCACTGACCAAACAGCTGTGACTGTGGGAACTGAGGCCTCCTCTCATCCCTCCTGCTGCCAGAAGGTTCAGAGGAGCTGTGGTTTGTCTGTGAAGGGCTGAGCTGCGAGGTGAGGTGGGAAGAGCTAGAGAGGCATGGGACATGGAGGTATTGGGTTTGTCTTCTGGTTGTTGGTGCGCTGTGCTTTGAAGATGCTTAGAAACCCCAAGCCAGCGCCCACCACACTCCACACTCCGTCAGGGGGCTGCTTCTAGGTATGTTCGTGACTCTTACAGAAGCGGCAGGTGGCACGGGGCCAAGAGGAAGTGTGACTGAAACTGTCCATTCAGCCTGGTTGCCACATTGAGAGGACTCGGTGGGAAACAGACGCTGGTGTCTGGGACTACACAAGCAGCCAGGTCCTGAGGCAGCGGGCCGTCCCACTTCCTTCCTGTCCCCAGGAGAGGGCAGGGGCACCCAGAGCTCCAGGCACCGGCTCGGGCCTGCTCACGGCATTGTTTCCGAACTCCCCCCTCTCTTCCCACACGGGCTGCACTTCAGGGACGGGATGTGCTGACCATTGTCTCCCCAAGGGGCGCACGGCTGGGAAGGAGGTGCCAGAGCAGTCGGGGAACCTCGGGGCTTATTTCTCCCCCCTGCAGCCCCTGGCCCGGGGAGCCTGTGCCTGTATTAGTACTAGGAGCTACTGTTTCGGGAGCCTGTCCTTGATGCCACACCCTGTGTGAAGAGCTGTAAGCATTTCCGGCCTCTGTCCTCGCAACCATCCAGTGAGGGGGGCTTTTGCAAAGAGGAAGCTAAGACTCCTGACATTAAATTACTCCTCCAAGTTCTCCCGGCTTGAAGTAAGAGTAGATAGCACAGTCGGGACTTGAACCCAGGTCTATGTGATTTTGCAACCCACTGAGCGGGTGGGTCCCTTTCACAGTTCCTCTGGTGTTTGACTTGGTGGGATGGCCTGGAACTTGGGAGGTAGTGAGGCTGTGTGGGACGGTGGAAGACCCTACGGGGCGGCGTGCAGGGCTTCATGCCCTGGATCATTGTCTCCATGGGAGCTTGGGGAATGCAGCTTTCCCGTGTGACATGGACAGCACCTTCTTTACAGGGTTGCAGTGAGGTGCGTGGGATACTGCAGGGGAGAGGGTTTTTGTTATGTGGAACGTGTTCTTATGCCAAGCTTTAGCCGGCCTCGAAGTAGAGCCGGGGTTGGGGTGGATGGGCCCCACCCAGTGAGTGGTCTGGGCCTTTGCTTTGGGGGTAACTGCTCCCCTGGCTGCCTTCTTTCTGTGAGGTGTGTCCCACAGTGGAGAAGCCTTGTGCTTTGGCTCAGAGAGCCTGTTCTGCACAGGAGTGGGGGTCTGTGTGGAGATGGTGGGGCCATTGTGAGTGTTGGGGGAGGACCTCCTGTGTGTCAGGCCCTGTGGGGAGGTGGAGAGACTGAGGAGACACGAGATGGGGGGACACGGACAAGTTGCACCCAGTCATCCCAAGCCCTCTGGCTGTGACCCAGAGGACAGTGGGTAGGATTTGGGAGCGCTGGGGAGGGGTGGCAGGCAGAGCGGCAGGCACCCACTTGCCCCACTGGGCCCTTCTTCACAGACCTGTGTCATCCGAGCCTGGGACTGCCGCAAGCCCCTGCTCTTCTGCCCAGCAATGAACACCGTCATGTGGGAGCATCCCATCACGGCGCAGCAGGTGGGCCAGCTCAAGGCCTTCGGCTATGTTGAGATACCTTGTGTGGCCAAGAAGTTGGTGTGTGGAGACCAAGGTGGGCATCTGGCCAGGCTCATAGGCCATCCCCACAGCCCAGAGTCACAGCAGGGCTCAGCTCCAGGGTCAGATCTGGGTCCTCAGGCAAAACTGTTCTCTGGGCTCGGTTTTCTCGTCTGGGAAATGGAAGTCTTAATTCCTCTCAGACTTGGTAGGATTAAACGAGATAGTATATGTCAAGTGCCTGGTGTCCCTGGCAGGCAGCCCGAGTACACAATGGTTACTGTGACTGTTCCTGGGGCCTGACCTGGGGATGCCTCGGAAGGGATTTGATGGGTCTGGCTCCTGCAGACATGGTCCTGGCCTTCCAGGCATTGGGCTTTCAGTGGAGCACTCGGGAGCACTGAGCAGGGTGGGTGGGGGCTGGGCCCCTGCCTCAGTCTGCAGGCTACAGCAGAACCTTGCTCCCTAGGTCTAGGGGCCATGGCCGAGGTGGGCACCATTGTGGACAAAGTGGAAGAAATCCTCTTCCGGCATGGTGGCTCTCAGCAGAGTTGAACCCAGGATTTCTGTCATGTGTGTCTCTCTGCACTCAGCGTGTTTTCAGGCCAAGTCTATGAAGAAGGTGGATGTTGGCAAAATACGGTGAAGACTTCTGCGTTTACTGGGGAGGAATCTGGCCTGGGCCGGGGGCCTGACTTGCCTCAGGTTCAATTAGACCAAAGGCCCAGGTCCCGACTTCTTTCCAGCTAAGAGATGCCTGCTTTCCAGAACCCTCTTCCCCTTTCCCTGGGATTAGCACAGTAGGCTGCTGTATGTCCCTGTGCTCTGGGAGGGGGACTGAGGGATGATGGAGAAACCTTGGTTCTCCCTGGTGCCTGGGAGCTGCTTCAGCTCCTTGGTGGGCTGCCCGGGCACCATGCAGAGTCAGAGAAGCCTGTGATTAGCAAGACGCTGAGATTCTCCGTAGACCATAGGGTGAGATCGGGGGTAATGGGGAATAAAGAAGAGTGACCTGTAGGAGTCCGTGTCCTTCCTTTACCTCTGTCTGTGGTCTCGGAGATCAGGGGCATTGCTTGGTGTGGTTGGCCAAGGGTCGGGGCTGACAACTGACCTGCATGTCTTCCTGCCAGTCTCATGTGGTGGTTAAGACAGACCCTAGTTCAAATCTCAGCTCTGCCATGTGCTAGCAAGGCTAGCATTCCTGGACCATGGCTCAGGGCTCTCAGCCTTTCTGACTCTCGCTTTCCTCATCTCGATGATCCTGCCCTCACGGAGTTGTTGAGAGAATTAAATGAGGTTATGTGTGCAAGGTACCTGCCTCCCTGCCTCTTACATAGTAATAAATGTCAACTAAAGGGAAGTTAAAGCTAGATATGTATTCATACCAGTGAGCTTTGCTAACATTTACTGAAATAGACCCTCTCATTGTGGGAAAAGTAAAATCCCCAGCCCTAAGCTGACGTGGCCTCTATGCAAATGACAGGCACACAGCCAGCCAGCCAGCAGGGTCAGAACCTAGGTCCCTTGCTTCCCAATGTCCTCATCAGCTTTGCTGCACCTGAGACCGGGACCTGGGTGTCTGTGCCTCCCCTCCGACCCCACCCAACGGCACACAGGAATTCAGGAAGTGGACTCCAGAGAGAGACGTGTTCTGCCCTAGAAAACCCCACCACCCTGCCTTTGACCTAATTGCTGTTTGGTGGCTGCAGTGGGGAGGGGCTTGTGTGCCTATTTGGAGCTGAGGTTGGGGCTGGCTTCCTGCCTTCCAGGCCAGGGGGGTGTGGGCACTCCCCGCATGCCCTTGGACCGCTGAGGGTAGAGGTTACCTTTGAGGGGCACCAGTAAGCCTGCTGGCTGGGACCACAGCTTCCAGGCCTCCAAGAGCCTTTATTTCTATAGCACTTAATCTAGCAACCCTTTGGGATACGTTGCCTTAGGGCAATAAAGGAAATCTACCTCAAACGGTAGCATCACAGACCAACCTCTGACAGGTTTGAGGGCGGATGGGGAGGGCCTGGATCATTGAAATCCAGAGACAATCCCAAAGTTGCACTTAGGTGGTTTCCAACGTCCCTCCTTGTGTCCGCGTTGCCCTTTCTTTCCCTCAGCAACCTGCTAATGAGTAGTGAGGCTCTCCAATTTTAATAGAAACTGCTACCATTTACTGAGTGCTTACTGTATGCAAGACCTTGTGCTGGGCACTTTAAGAGAGACAGCTGCCCAGCAGACCTGCTACACAATGCTGGTTCTCGAAGTCCACAGGAGCAGAGAGCTTGATAGGACTCTACCCAATACCTCAGCAAACAGCTGTGGCTCCTCAGAGTGGGCCTGAGGAGCTTGTTGGCTGGAAGGAGAGATGTCCCCCATGGATGTGGGTCAGCTGGAGGTTCCATCCCTGGGGTCCACCACTCCATCACTGCAATCCTGCATCCCTGTTGCCCATTGCGAATGGGGGCCTGGATGAATGGGCTGGCGCTGTGGCTGAAGAGCCGAGGTGTCCCCTGAGCCCCTGAGGTTGGAGTAAAGAGGAGAGGGCAGTTGGCGTCAGGCTCTACCCGCCTGGCCCCAACTGCAGGGGGAGGGGAGTGGCAGCAACAGCTCGCCCCACCAAGAGTCAAAACTCTGAAAGTGGTCAGCATCGAAGTTAGAAGTATTTCTCAGAGAAGATGCCAGTCTCTCTCTCTCTCTCTCTTTTTTTTTTTTTTTAAGGATTTTTTTTTTTTGACACAGAGATCACAAGTTGGGGTGGGGGTGGGCAGAGGGAGAGGGAGAAGCAGGCTCCTGGCTGAGCAGGGAGCTCGATCCCAGGACTCTTGGACATGACCTGAGCCAAAGGCAGACAGTTAACCAACTGAGCCACCCAGGCGCCCATCTCATTATTTTTATCAAATTCTGGAAGTTTCACAAAATTGAACATTTGGGTCTGAAATTCACACTCTTGTTCGGCAGCCTGGAGCCTCTCTGGGCTGCTGTGGCTACTGCTGGGTGAGAGGTGCATGTCTCCAAGCCAGGGCCCACCCCCACACTGGCTGTGTCTAGCTCTTCTGTGACCCTCAGATTTCTCCCCACTGCCTCAGGGCAAGGCCCTGACTCCTGGGCAGTACACATCTTGGCCTTCTGTGAGCTGGCCCCTCCTACCTTTCCAGCTCCACCCCTATTACACGTCCCCATGCAAGGCTCCCCATCTTCTTGCCAGACTGGACAGCCTTGACAAAGCCCTGTTGCTTCTTACCTTTGCACTTGCTGTCACTTCACCCGGGCTGACTCCGACTCATGCCTCTGACATACCTGGGTGCCACCTCTTTTGGAAAGCCTTCCCTGGCTGACTCAGGCTAGATCAGGTGGTCCTTGCCCAGGTTCCCATCGTGCCCCCTCTTATTTATTATAGCGCAGAATTGCAATTGTCTGTTTACTTTGTAAACAGGGATCTCCTGGAGGGCAGGAGTTGTCCTGTCCTCACAAAGCCTGGTATGTCATTCCAAGCTTGTACTGACAAAAAAAAGGTGTGTGTGTATGTGGTGGAGAGAGGAGGGGCAGTCCTGCTCCTTTCTGAGCAAGACACACAACCTTGGAGCCATAAAAGCAAAGACTGATAAATTTGCCTACAGAAAAATAAACAATTCCGCCTAGCAATAGCCCAAAGGCACGGTCAGAGACAAGCATAAATGGGAAATGATCTGCAGCTCATATAACAAAGGACTAATTCCCCTAATATATAAAGAGCTATACATTGATTCAAAAAAGACCAAGAATACAAAAGGTGAGCAGAGGATAAAGAAAATGGAGTTGACATGTTTATGTGCATGCGCACGCGCGCACACACACACACACACACACACACACACACACACTCCACATGGCTCTTAAACATAAAAAGCTACTCAACCACATTTATGGGGAGAGTGACACAAAGCAAACTGCACCTCAGCGGAGGTTTTTGTCTGTTAGCTCGGTGGGGGCAAGGGTACGGGCACCTGCTACCTGGACAGCAGGACTGCAGGTTTGATACAACCTCGCTGGAGAACGATCTGGAAATATCTATCAAAATTATGTATGTACTTTACCCTTTCACCCAGCAATTCTACTTCCAGGGATTCGTCCCACAGATACACTCGCATAGAGCACATTATGTCTGAATAAGGCTGTTCATTGCGGCATTGTACGTGCTGGTAAAAGGCTGGGAACACCCTCGCTATGTCACAACCAGGGACTGGTTGCATCAGTTAGGGTCGCTCCTACACCCAGACACTACGCAGCCACAAGATGAGCGTGAGGAAGCCCTTTAGGTGCCCGTGTGGGATGCCGTCTGAGATAACGCTGCTAAACAGAAAATGCGAGACGCAGAACAATGTCTATTGCATGCTAGCTTGTGTGCAAAACAAGTGAGGGGCGGAAAAGAGGATGTGTTCCCATTGGCTTGTAGGTGCATCGAATACCTATTGAAAAATAAACAAGAAACCAGTCCATTGTTTGCCACTTGGCAGCAGAACTGGGTGGTTGAGAAAGGTGGGAGACCAACTTCATTTTAAGTTGTGAGGCAGATGAGTATAGTATCTACCACAATGGCAGTAAATACACACATTTTAAAAAGGGTTCCTTCTGTCCTTTATCCAGAAGTTCCTAAAAATGACCTGGCAGAGAACATGCAAAAGTCTTGGCAGGGGCATCTGGAGATTTCCATCAAGGCCTTTGGAGTAAAAATGGGTCTGTTTTTCTTGTCATGAGCTAATAGAGGAGGAGGACTTTTGAGTACCCCTGGGTGCTACTTAGAAGCCTTTGAGACCCCTGATCTCAAGCAGCTTACGGTCTTATGGGAAGAAGACTCAAGGCCTTAAAACAATCAAATGACTGTGAGAATCAAGTGTGAGACTGTGTGGTACAGACTCAGTGCATGGCTCAGAATCGAGAATAGTAAGGGTGGGCCTGTTGGCGCAGAGCTCACACAGATGCTTCCTGGAGGACCGGGGAAGTGAAAAGTGGATGGGAAGGCTGAAGATGTGCTACCCTGTGCTTGATGTGGGACACCTGGGTAGGAACTAGACCCTGGAGGGGCTAGGGACCTGGGGAGCTTCTGCAGGGGAGCGAGGTGAGCGTGGAGTGTGGTAGAGGTCAGCTGTGTGGTTCTCGGGACAGATTGGACTATTGAGACGCTGGAGTTGGGTAGAAAGCCAGATGCTAAGCGGGGGAAGTGAGGCTGTGCTGAAGGCCTTGGCCAGACCTGTGGTTCTGGAGAGGAAGGGGGTGCAAAAGTGAGTGACGATGTGACGAAAACCCAGCATGATTAGAAAGCGTAAGAACCACTGTCCTGTGGCTAGAGGGTGGGGGGCCGGGGGGGGCACTTAGTGACAATTGTGTGTGTGTTGCTGCAAGATTTATTAACAGTCCCCAGTGCCACCCACTAGAAAGAATTCTGCTTTGCTTACCACAGTTTTTTTCTCTCAGGATTGTTTAGTCTGCCTTCATGGTTCCTGGGCATTCTGTGGTGTGGAAGTAGAAAAAACAGACTGAGCTAACGGAACTGGGGAGATGGGAAGAAAGGGGAAGGGAGTCTTACTTTTTGTATTGTGTCTCCTTTGTGTGGTAAATTCTGGTCCTGGGCGAAGGGGGAGAGAAATTAAAGCAAGGAGCAGAGAGACTCGATGACCTCCATAATGAAGAGCTGAGAGAGGCCTGAGTGGGGCGGGGGAAGGGGGTGCAGCAGAGCCAGGCGGGTGGGCCAGGAGTTGGGGTACAGTCTGGGAGTTGGCTTCACAGTCTTTGAGCTGCTGGGGGTTCAAGAAGATGGAGGTGGGGGCTAAAGGGGTGTTTGAGGAATGTTGCTGAGGGTTGTGAGTTGGACACACGTTAAGGTTCTTCAAGAGCCCCAAGTAAGGATTGGGGTTCCTTTTAAATTCCTTGGCAGCGTGTGCTTCTCTGAGTGTGACTGTGCAGGACCGAGCCCCCCGGAGCCCTAATGACATTCGGGTTACGTACCTGGCTTAGGTGCTCCCTGTACCGCTACATGTCCTCGATCCCATTCCACCCTCCTGACGCCACAGCTGGGCGATGGAGTCAGCTAGTATATCTAATCCGTCTCGCAGATGGGAAAGTGAGGGTCCCCCTGCCCGGGAGCCACCTCCATGCTGGCTTTGCCCCAGAACCAGAGCTCCACCCTCATGAGCATTTACTGCGCTGAGGTCCTTTGAAACGCTCCGTCTCCCACACATCGCGACTACCACCAGATACCTGTTTCTTTTAGTCCCAGTTTAGCAGCTGCCTCATTACCTTTTTCGTCCCATAGCTTCCTTCATACATACATTGCGGTTTCTAGGGC